ACACACACACACACACACACACACACACACCTACAGAGAGAAAGAGAAGGGGGGGGGCACATTACTCTCTAGTAACACCGCTAATCTTCTACACTTATATATCCTAATTGTGTTGCAAGTGCACTAAACTACACGATCTCACTGGCTATATTCGCTCTTCACAGAACATCCAACAGGAGCTGGCGGCAAGGGAGGCCACTGTACTGACCATGAAGGCGCCCGGGAACCTGCCGCCGTCCCAGAGCGAGGAGTTGTCGGCCCTGTGGGACCGGGTCAACCACCTCTGCGACGTCCGAGAGTCCAAACTCAAAGAGGCTCTCAAGCTAGTCAGTTCCTCTTTATTTCACTTTCTGGAATTTGGGGCAGGGGTCAGTAAACTATAGCCTGCAGTGGGCTGGAGGTCAGTTCATCTGGCACACTGCCATGTCACTGTGCTGTGGGGGGGGGGGAGAACCTGGAAGATGTGTTTGTAGTGTGTATAGGACTTGGTCACCAAATTGTTTAGATATTTTCAGTGAACACTAAAGGGCAAATTACAATTTGCTTTTATAGACTATAACAATAATATAAAGCTTTTATAAATTTCCAGGTAATATCACACTCTTGCTCAGTTTTAACTCCTCCATTGCTGAGGCTTTTCCCGTCTATGTTTGTAATTTAAATTTAATCGGTATGTTACTCAGGAATATAAAAACAAAGTATCAGCTTATAGGAGCAGTCTCTCACTCAGAAAATGTCAGTAGTCGGTTGACGGTTGCTCTGGTGCAGTTTGCTCCTTCTTTCCTATTAAACGTCTATCGTCCTTATCTGCCCTCCATCCTTTCTTCGCATGTTACTTTTTAGTAGCAACTCTAATCTTCAGTATTAATATGACCTTTTTTTTTTTGGTTTGAATTTGGTCGGAAAGCAGTTTTTATTTTCAGGGAGACAAGGTGTACATAGGCTAGTACCATACATACACATATTTATGTGACCTATTCGTGTTGCAAGTCCTGTTAAACTTTTACTGAAGCTGAAACTAGACACATTATGTTACGATATCTTTCCCGACAGGCTGAAGAGTTCCAGGACGTGGTGACTGTCATGAGAGAGTTCCTGCCCCAGGCTGAGGCACAGCTCAAGTTCCGTGCCCTGCCAGAGGATGAGATGGTCATCCTGCAGCTCATTGAGAAACACGAGGTACGCCTTTGTGACCAATTGCAGCAAGTGGGTGGTTGGTGGGTACTCTGGTGGGGTTTGCTCCTTTTTTCCTGTCAGATTTCTATCATCCTTATCTCTTCTCCTTCTTTTTTGTGAATGTGTTACTCTCTTGTAACACCTCTATTCTTAGGCACTTATATGAATTTATTGTGTTGCAAGTGCTGTAATACTCTTACTAAAACTAGAACTACAGCGTGGCTGATATTCATGCAGTGAAATTACTTTCTCTGTCTTGATGGGAATCTGGTGCAAGATACAACAGCAAAGAGAATATGAAAAGTTTGTCTCTGTTTTCTTAAACCCTATGCCTTCCTCAATCCCTACTGTCTGTGTTTGCTCATTTCGTACTTTACCAGGCCAGTGTTTTATGACGCGACTGGTAGATCATGCTTGTTTTCTTTGCCTCTGCTGTTTTTGTCTGTCTGTCTGCCTTACTTTTTCACTTTTTCCATGCACCAAGTGACCGTTGTTGTGTCAATGGGCTTCTCTTAACCATAACAAACAAACAAATCAGTCATCCAGATGTATGGCTGACACTTTCTAACTATTGTAATGAATAGTTTCACAGCCTTACCGATGCCACTGCTGACATTTTTTCAACAATGTAAAGCTATAGATTTTAGATTATTTGAAAATCAATTTTAATTTTCCTGTTGTTTATTGCCACAGAAATTTCAAGAGGAGCTGCGTAACCACCAGGGAAGTGTGGACAAGATCAAAGGCCTGGCGGAGGAGATCCTCCTGAGCTGTCATCCCAACGCTGTGCGCTTTGTCAAGTACTACCTCACCATCACACAGACGCGCTGGGACCAGGTCAGTTGGCACAACTCTATACAGTGTTTTCCTTCACCTTCACCTTCTCCTATCCCATAGTCTGTCTGATGGTTAGGATACCGATATAGATTTGACAGCCTGTTTCTTCTTCTATTTATGGTTCTCAGCTTTCCACAGTAAGATGTTCCAGTCTTGGCCAGTCTTGGAGGGTACATTAAAATTTCTTGTTAGGATAAAGAAAATGTTATGTTATTATGATTTTAATCTTCTATTCTATCCCCTGTTATCTACATTTTTTGCTAGGATAAAGAGAGAGTTATGTTATTTTGATTTATCTTCTATTCTCGCCCCTGTAATCTACATTTCTTGCTAGGATAAAGAGGGTGCTACCTTATTTTGATTTATATCTTTTATTCTCGCCCCTCCAGTTGTTACAACGAGCCGGGAACCGCGGCCAGCGTCTCCAGGAAGCTCTACGTAACATCCAGGGCAACGCAGCTCTGCTGGAGGAGCTCCTGGCCTGGCTCACGGACGCCCAGGCTCTGCTGGCCACCAAGGAGAGAGACCCCGTGCCCGACGACCTCAAAGTGGTGGAGACGCTGCTCAAGGAACATCTGGTATGGGTTGTTTATCATCATCATCATCATCATCATCATCATCATCATCATCATCATCATCATCCTGCACTTATCACTACATGGCATTGGACAGAAGGGCGAGAGACCAGCTGTTGCTGGGTCGAAAACAACATCATCATCATCATCATCATTGCCTTTCTCATCCTGACTAGGGTTCAGGCTACCAACAAACACTTTCCGCTTTTCCCTATCTTGGACTAGCGTCTTAACATTATTCTACGTCTTTCCACTTTTTTCCAGTACATCATTCTCTGTGACTCGTCTCCAGATTCTATGTTGCCCCATCTTTCATCTGTTATCTTGTGAATGATGGGTTGGTTATCATGAGTAAAAATAAAAGGGAAAGGCAACTGTTACACCATTAGAGTAGCATCCTCTGTTATGTGAAATCTGAGCTGACACTGTCACTTCTTGTGTCCAGGAGTTCCATGAGGAAGTGACGAGTAAGAACAACGATGCCGAGCGCCTCTCCAAACTGGTCACTTCAGAGTCCAAGATGGCTGCCCAAGGCAAAGGTTTTGGCAGGTCAGTTGAATGTGGTGTTTGAAGTGAGAGAATATATTGATGATTGAGACAATTTTGTCAGTATGTCTGGTAGACTTGGTTGTATGCCTCTCATTCTTTATGTGTAAATTATATTTACTTTTTATCTGGGTTTTTTTTATGTTATTGTTGAGGAAACGAGCAAGATATTGTTTTTAGTGGAAAGAGAAAGAGATAGTTATGGTACCACACATTATGTTTAGTTGCTGCAGTTCCTTTTTTTTTTTGCTCTTTGGAGTGGAACATGTATCTGTTTTTGGTTAACTTTTTTTTATAATGTGTGTGTGTGTGTTGTTAGATTAGAAGACTATTCCTGTGCTTTTTAAAGTTCTCCATGCTTATTTTGCTTCTACTGTTTGCTGCATGTGTGAACGAGCAAGTGTGTGAGCAAGTAAGTATGTGTTTGTGTGTGTGAGACTTCCCATATATGAGAGCCAGGGAAGGAGAGATACCACTGCAACTATCAATGTCATCAAACTGGAAACTGATTGAGTGTTCTGTGTGATGTATCTCCGTGCAGCAACATGAAGCTGAATGAGTTTGATGGCTACAACCCACGAGTGATCGCCCTGCAGAACAAGTGGCGCACTGTGTGGCGTATGTCGGTCGACAGGAAGAAACAGCTGCAGGACGCTCACGACACCTTGTTGGAGGTTAGACATTTTCCAGTCTCAAAACGGAACACTTTTCTTTTTTCATTTTTTTTGCATGTTTTTTAGATTAATGCAGTGTATCAATGCCGCAAAATACCCCATGTAGTGATGGAATGACCAATCACGTAAAACAGAAATTCTCTGATCAGAAAAGTTTCTAAAAGTGAACCAAACTGTGGATTCAGCTGGTGGAGGAGTTTCCTGTTGAAAGTTTTAATATTTTGTTTTAGCGTCCAAAAATGATAATTTGCCATTCTTTTTAAATGTCTTCCCAAATTGAATGTCACTGAAAACAAAATGGGTTATAGGGTTATAGGGTCACTTTCAGTCATCTAATTGCTGTTTTTAGTGTACAAAATAGTGTGATCAGAATGTTTTTCAGAGAAGGAAGCTTTTAGATTTGTTATGGAGCTTCACAAAATCCTCATTTTCACTGTGCAGACTAATTTTTTTAAGGGTCTTATCAGTATTTTCCAAGAATATGATATGCTTATGAACTTGGAATGAAAATTTTGACCCTTATTTTTTTTTTAAATTACCTTGTGGTCCCTGCTCTTTCATTTACTTTTCTTTATCTTCTTTGCTTCCTTCTGGCCAGACTTGGAATAAGAGAGGATTGGTACAAGAGGACTTTCTTTGTCAGTTATATCTGCTCACATTACTCAGAATGGACGTCCTTACTTTATCTAATATTGAAATGTTCACATTCACTTATCCAATAGATGTAGTCAGTGAAAGTCTCCTCCCAGTCTTCACATTCACACACACTTTCTTTTAGCTTTCTTTCCTTCCTCTGTTACAGTTTGGTGTCTCTCTTTTATAATTCTGTAATGCATTGTTGTGTTCATATGGAGTAGAATAACCTGTCTGTCTATTGAGACATATTTCATGTACAATGCTTCTTGTTATTTGAAGAGTCTGATTGCTGTCTTAGCTGTGTGTTCATCACAACCTTTTTTCTGTACTGTTCTTGTAGTTGGATGTTTTCACTCAAAACTTTTAGTACTTACTGTAGAACTTATATACAAAGTACTCCCTTCTGATATATATTTGCTCTCTTGTCATATTGTTTTTTATAGGGCTTTACGAATATGAACTAACACTCGAGTAACCTTTGAAATGTATAAAATTAAAGAAAAGGAAAAGGGAACGCTGTTGTTGTCTTTATTGTGCTTCTTCATATTTGCCTCATTCCTCACAAGATTTCATCAATGGTAGAGACAGCTACGAATGTATGATTCTTAAAATAAACATATAATGAAAAAGAGTAAAGTAACATCTTTCATTTGTATTTATTTTTTTCATGTACCGAATAAGTCACTGTGGTTTGATTTTTTTCTGACAGCTTGAAAGTTTCAAGAACTTTGACTTTGACCTGTGGCGGCAGAGGTATCTGAACTGGATCCAGGCCAAAAAATTCAGAATCACAGACTTCTTCCGCAGACAAGACAAAGACAGCGACGGATTTTTGAACAGAGAGGAGTTTGTCAGTGGCATGCTCAAGTCCAGTAAGTGTTCATGGGACTCTTTTCTTCCCTGCTATGGTTACTGTTAGCTGTGATGGACAGAAAGTGTTAAATCTGATCTAGATGCTCATGTGCAACACTAATGTGAAAGTACTGAAAGATACACATATTTTGCTGTTAGTTTCCCAGCTTCCTGTTTCAATCAGAGGAGGGTTTTTTTTGGCCTTTGCAAGATGATATAACTACTGCTATATTTTTCCTGTTTATAGATTAATGTCCCTTCCTTTGATTTCAAATAACATTTAAGTTGTTTGTTCTGCTGATTCGTGCGAAGTGTACCTTTCCTGTAATTCAAATGTGTCTCTTTCTATCTACAGAATTCCCAACAAATAGGACAGAACTGAATGCTGTGTTTGACATCTTTGACGGAAACAACCGGGGGCTTATCGAGTATAAAAATTTTGTAGATGCCCTCAAGACTGACAGGGTAGGCTCATGCGTGTAAATGTATTTTATATCTGGTTACACATGCCCATTTTTGGAATTAAGTAATCTAGAGGCCTTGAACTTTGTAAACCTTAATATGTATGTACATTTCATGAGCACTATACCTTTGGTATATTTACAGTCACATTTATTATTATGAATTTGTTTTCAATGATCAAGGAAAATCTGCTAGTGTTTGATCATGTCTGTCTGAAGAATGTTCGGGTTTGAGAAGAAAACCAGCCTGTGTTCTGTCGGTGGCCTAGTGGTTAGGCTCTCGGACTCGCAACCGTAAGGTCGTGGGTTCGAATCCCGTCAGGGACCCGACGTTGTGTCCTTGGGAAAGGCACTTTACACAAATTTTCCTCACTTCACCCAGGTGGGAATGTGTACCCGGCTATAGACAGCGAAAGATCTTGTCAGTTTGTTAGTGTTTGAGCGCTTAATCGGCTGCTTGCACTGTATGCTTCCCGGGAAGCTGAGAATGTTTCTGAGTGTTCTATGGTCTGCTGGGGTAATAATATAGTGTAAAGCGCATAGAGCCTGCTGTTGAGCGGGGATATGCGCTATACAAATGCTATCTATTATTATTATTATTTGATTACGTTTATCTTCCATTGCACTTTAGCTGAAGTAAATGAAATAATGTATCAGATCCCTGGTTCAATATGAATTAATCAGAGTATTAGTCTGCTGCAGGTACTTATTAATTAACAGAAAAAAGTTGGAAAATTCTACAAAGTTAGGCTGTTGTGAGGTTAGGAATATAATGTAATATGCTTTTGATAAAGTCAATTAAAGCAATCACAATCATTCATTAAGTTAAAAACCCATCTCACTTAGTAAATATCTTGGGTAAGACAATACCAGTGGCAATGCGACATCTATGCTCATCTACTGCTGTGCTTTCGTTTTCAGAAAAATAGAGCCAAGAACAATAACCGCAAGTCAAAATCTGACATGGAGTTGATCCATGAGGAGATCGAGAAGGAGCTGTCCTCGTGTGCCTGCAGAAGTCCCTTCAGAGCTGAGTGGCTGGATGAAGGAAAATACAGGGTTTGTATAGCTTTTCAAAAATATCATTTTGCATCGTTTTGAAAATATTTCGTATAAGTCAACCATCGTGGAAGAAAGATTTCAATCTAAATGTTTGTTTAAAGTGTATAGGAGTGGCTAGTCAGTGCCTAGAAAAAACTATCTTTACTTTTTTAGCTTTCTTTCCCCCCCCCCCCCCCCCCCCCCCCCAAACTTAATAACTATATTTGTATACTTCTCTTTGGCTCTCCCTCCTACATAAGCCAACATAGTGAGTAGTGGGAGGGTGCCACTTGTAGATTTATCTTCTTTTCTATCGCTTTGTTGTTTGCTTTTTTCTTTCCCTTCACTTTACTGCAGTTTTCCTGTCAATGACTTTTCTTCATCAAAGATTAACTAAAGTTGGTGAACATCCAGCATCTCAAATCAATCTCGATCCTTTTTTGTCTGTTTTCACAGTTTGGAGAGAAGCAGAAGACATGCCTGGTTCGCTTCCTCAACCACACAGTCATGGTGCGGGTGGGCGGCGGCTGGGTCACACTGGAGGAGTTTGTGGAGCAGAACGACCCTTGCAAAGGTAAGTGCTTGTCCGATTTATTTGTCTCTATGATTGATGTCGTTGCTTTGTCTCAACTATGTGATCAGTTGTCCTCGAGATAGATAGTTACATTTTTATCAGTCTGCATGCCTCTGTGTACTATATACAGGCTGGTCAACTGTCTCAAATTTCCCGGGACTCCCCCAAATTCTGCAGTCGGGATTTTGAGAGCCTTTAAACTTACACTACACCAAAACCAATCCCACTGGATGTGATTTAGTTCATTGATACGTAATCTTGTGTCATAACATTGGGTGTCCATGACTGAGATTTGAAAAGGTTGGCAAGCCTGTGAATTTGTATTTTGTCAGAACTTCTTATTTGTGCTGTGAAGCAACCCTAAAAGGAAATGGGCCATTTTTCTTCTTCCAGATTTCTTCATGTTTCAGTAGATAGTACATGTTCAATTTCTGCACTTACACAAGTTGGGTCTCATCTCCACTTTCAGCTCAGTAGTAGTCTTTGAAGTTTTGGATCCAATAAAGATAAAGTCATGGTCTGTTCAGCAAGGATGGGAGTGCAGTGGAACTGTAGCACTTATGATAGAGTCCATTACCTTAGATGTAGGCAAAATTGTCAGAATGAACATTTTTTCTCTTTGAAAATGTAAATTTCTTCTGAGCCACTTTGTGAAAATGAGCTGAACTTCATAATGAGTGGAAATCAGGCTGAACGGCTAGAACCCAGTTCGCCACAGGATCTGAAAAGTAAAAATAAAGTATAATGGGAAGAATTTGATGTGTTATATGTTCTTTCTGCTTCTCTTTTGTTCCTGACATTTGGATCATTTTGGCCAGGAGGTGCTTAGTAAGCCTTCTGCAACTCGGCGATTGACTATAATCTTTTTGCTGTGGACATACTTCTATTTTTTGTGTATTCATTTAACTATTTATTGTAATTTTTTACATTTTAATTAGTACCCACCTAAAACAGAACTTTGCATTTGGACACATGTTTTTTTTCTTATGTGGTACACAAATCAGTAAGACTTGCAAATGAAATATATTTTTCGACGAATAAGATTCTTTAAAGTTTGTTTTTTCAATAATCTTTTTTTTCATTGGAAAGTATAGTGTTTTGACGTACTGCAATTAATCTACTTTTCATCTATTCTTCAATGTAAGATGTTTCATGCTCTTCAAATTATTTAGGGGTTTTGTTGGAGGGTTTTTTGTCTTTTATCTGTATTTGTTGTGTGCTATTGAACCAAGCAAGCTGACTCCGTCATTGTAGATTAATCCTCTTTGTGTGTTCGTATACTTTGTTCACTGTTCACATGGAACATATTAATGGTGAGTTTACTGTAGATGGTGAATGCGCTTTTTTATTCGGTGATGTGTAATTTATTTGTGCATATGGTACATTTAAATGTATGATTCACGCAAAATTGTAGCTTGATATGTTCATCCTGCTCAAGAGCAAAAACTCTTCTCACTGTCTGTCTGTCCGTCTGTCTGTTTGTCTGTCTGTCTCTCTTTCTCTCTCTCTCTCTCTCTCTCTCTCTCTCTCTCTCTCTCTCTCTCTCTCTCTCTCTCTCTCTCTCTCTCTCTCTCTCTCTCTCTCTCTCTCTCTCTCTCTCTCTCTCTCTCTCTCTCTCTCTCTCTCTCTCTCTCTCTCTCCCCCCCCCCCCCAAACCACATCACACCCCTTTTTGCCGTCTTGGTTTTTTCTCTCTTCCCCAAATTCCGCCTCATTTTGACATAATGAACACATGCACACCCACCCAATCTGCCTGCCTTTCAAAACAAAGGGTTTTTTTCTTATGCACACTCTATCTTGAGCTCGGACTTAAAATACATGTTTGCATACCATTCACATGTCTGTATGCAGCGCACAATACCACACGGGCATTTTCACTTAAAACCTGGCTTTATACGGGAAAGCAAATACACACACACTCACTTGTATGCACACATGCACGCGCACGCACACACACATACGCACACACACACACACACACACACACACACACATGCTCATATACATGCATACATGCTAACATATGCTATCAGATTAATACACATACACATGTACATTTCTGCCTACTCACTCACATTGAATATCCTGCATACAAACATAAATTTCACTCCTTCGGTTGCTGCTTTTGAGTTTATAATTTTCTTTTTTCAAACTCTTTCGATCTCAAAATCTCATTGACTCTATTCCTTGACTCCTATACAGCGTCATAATATGCAAACGACTTTACTCCTTTAAAATATGTATGATTTCTGTCCGATAGCTTCTTCACAGTTTTTGCTTTTTATCATTTTGAAATAATTGTCATTGGGAGAAGGTGCTGTCTTTTTGGCTAATTATTTTTTTTTTTCACCATTTCCTTAGTTATCATATTAGTCCTCCTCATCATTATTATTGCTATTATAATAATCATTATTACACTCGAGAAAGTCATGAAGGTTTGAAATGATCTATGTGGAGGAATTCAGAACAAGGCAATTATTCCATTTCTTTTTTTTTTCTTCAATCATACTCAATGATTGAAGTGATAATTCCCAAGACAGTTACTTTTTTCCCAAGAAAATGAGCTGGGTGATAGTTCTTGGTGTTGCTGTTCTCATGATACTTTGTCATGAAAGTCAATGTTTGTGTTTCAAAATACTGCAAGTGCTTTTTCTTTGGAAAGCAAAAAAGCACCCACTAGATCACATGTTATGCTCCTCTGAATAAAACAGGGCTGACCCACTAAGCCAAAAAAAAGGCCACCTGTCGCCTTTCATTTCCCTCCGAGTAATTGGATTGAAAGGTTACACAGACTCTCTGACGTCACTTTGAAAGGAGTGATGTAGCACCTGCCACAGAAGAATGAGAATACTTGAAGTTAAAAACGAAGTCATTCATTGTACGCCTATTTGGTAGGAATTTTCCACGAAGGATGAAGTCAAAACAAACTACCCAAGTAACGTGACAAGTCAGCACTCTTGCTGCAGGCTGTGAGATATGATGTCTTATCGCTATGTGATCAGATGGATGTCATTTCTTGTATATAATCATATTACATAACTCTTGTTCCCCATTCTTTCTCTTTTGTCATTTATTTTCTATATCATATGCATATTATGACTCTCTGAATTGATGACTTTATGAGCTAATCACCATGATTTGACAGCTTCACTCATGAAAGCTTTTACTTTCTAATATCCCCCGCTCTCTGATCCCAGCCTCAACTGTTATTTCCATGTTCTTAACAGATGACTTGATATACTCTATTATGTCAAGGCTTCCTTTGTCAGTGACCTTAACGAGACACATCTTGTTTCTGCTCATTAATGTGTGTCGCTACATCCATTATTGCAGCCTAAGCTCCAAAATTTCCAGGCTGCCTCATGCATGAGTGTGAAAAACCTGTCTTTGCTCATCCATTTTGTTCCATTTCTGATAAGAGTTCAGAGCTTGTTGTATGTTTTGCGAGTAGCTTTATATAGTTGACAAAGCTGAAAGGGAAAACTAGTGTCTGGAGAGGCAGGAAAAAATCTGTATGAGATTCAAACTTGTGATGAAAATAGAAAAGTACATTTTTCTAAAGTTTCTCAGAATGCAGCCCTCTGGGGATGATAATGGTAATTTAATGTAGAAAGGTAGAAAGGTTTGAAGGGGCACGACTAGACTATCTTTTGGCTACTTTATGTTATCCCAAAATCCCACTTTTCCACTCTCTTCCCTTGCCCCCCTCTCTCTTAAATAATACATCGTGCATGACTTTGTAAGTTTATGGATGGGTGATAAGCATATTTGAAACAGTTTTCATGTAAGTAAAAATATGTTGCTGGAAAGCATTGAATACTACTAACAGAATAATGTGACTGCATTTTGCACTCTACCAACCAGCAGGATATTTTAAAGATAACTTTATGTTGTTAATTTCAAGCTCTAAACTTTATATATTATATAAAGCTGTTTACATGTACTTTTCTATTAATAATCTTAACCGACATCTAACAATTATCATGTCTCTTTCTTCCTCCCAACCCCGCCTCTCTCTCATAAACAAAAACCCCCTACTCTGTTAACTCTTAACCACTCGTATTCTGCTACTACCAAAACTTTGTGCTTTTCAAACATTTGACTCACACACACTCACACACACACACTCACACACACAAATGTACACCCTTGTTCACTTAAACACACATGCTTGCATACTCTCTGTCACACGCAAATACACAAACACACACACACACACACACACGTTCTCTTTCTCTCTTTCTCTCACTCACATACTCTTTCTCTCTTTCTCTCTCACACACACACACACACACACACTGCTTCCGAACCTCTCCCCCCCCCCCCCCCCCCAACTTCCTTTAATCTCCCTGCTGCTGTAACAGCTAAAGGCCGCACTAACTTCGACCTCCGCGACAACTTAGCTCTCCCAGATGGCTCCCACCACGGGCAGGGCCTGTACGGAGGCCGCCGCAACAGCTCGGGCCGGACATCCCCCTTCCCAACAGGCGTCCGGCGGCGACAGAACGACACAGGCTACGCCTCCTCCAACTCATCAGGTACTCAAAATGAGGAGGCGGGCAGCGGTGGAAGCCCCGCCCACTATGGCTTGCCGACCACGCCCACCTCTCCCGGAGCTCCGCTCCTTTCCCCTATGGCTGTAGCCATGGCCTCGCAGAAGGGCCGCCAGCGCTCGGCGTCTCAGAGATATAGTTTTCACGGTGATTTGTCGTGGAGTGGCACCAATAACAACAACAACAACAACAACCCCACCACCACAAGCGGAGGTATAAGTTGTGTCACAACACATATAGGGCCGCTGGACCTGTTCTTATCCTGCCTTCTGCTAACAACTGATGCTCGCTCTGCTCTGACATAGCTGCTGGGTTTTGTAGTCTTGGAAAGTCTGGGGTTGGGTGGGGGTTTTTTGTGTGCTTTTCCTTTTTTTCCTTTTTTGAAAGTAAAAGATTTCTTTCTTCTTTTTTTTCCATATATTAGTCATGTTAGATGTTCCTTTTCATATACTATTGGAGATTTTTGAATTTCCAACGTAGATCAGAATACAGTATTAGTCTTACCGCCAGTCATTTTTTTTCCTCATATATAAACATGTGAGCTGCGTCACACAGTGAGATGATGTAGGTGGTACATACTGCTCATTTGAACACTTCTATGAAAATCATTTAATAAACAAATATCTCTTCGGTCACTGATAGCAAATTAAGTAGGTTGGGTAAAATAGAGATTATCACATTAATTTTACTTTTTGAATCTCTTTTTCAAATGCATTTTTTTAACATTAGTGTAGGGTTGTCAAAAATTGGATCTCAAGAGAGATGAATCTGTCAAGTAATTACCTCCGTCTACCAAGAAATATATATGCGTCAGGTAGACTCTTCTATGGGAACGATCTAAATTGTCCAAGATGGCCACCCATTGTCAAGGAGAATAGTGGTTATCTTCGATGGACATCTAGGAAAGTGTCATTATAATATCTTTAAAAAACACAAGAGGGGAAGTGGAACATGGTCATTTGTTCAGGTGATTGTTTTGGACAGGTTGCAATTAGAGCAGGTTTCAACTGTAATTACCTTGAGAAACTGAGAAATGTTCAAGTCAGGCAGACGCTTCTATGAGTATTTATTGTTTGATGGTGTTGGACTAGTGGCCATTGTCAGAGCATGCAGGTGTCAGTGTCTGCACTCCACGTTAACGAGCACCTCATTTGTGCTACTAATCAACTGTAAGTCCTAATTCTGTGTATCCAAATGTGTCGCAGCTTGCCACTCTGAAGTACTACATTTTCAGCTGCTGGTTTCTTCATATATGTAAAAAAAAAAAAAAAAGACTTGTGCTCAAAAGACATAATCACATGTTATATCTCGCTAAAGACACCAGTGTATATGGTCGCAGAGGTTTTTGACATGAACGTAACTTGCAAGATTTATACCCAGGCTACTAGATCTCTTTTCAAATGAAATATTTTAATGCCTATTAACTGAGGCAAGCACGCATGTGGAATTCATCATAACAGCACCACTGCTGTCTAAACTTGCTCATGTACTAAATGAGAAGAAAAAGTCAACACACAATAATATTTTTAACCCCACAACACATAATATACGACATGTTCCACTCTCGTATAGTCGCTGTTTAGTTTTTTCTATGTACCCAGTATTTCCTCCTGTGCAGAAGTCCATTACAACCTGCCACAAACTGAACCGCTGTATCTTAGAGTGTAATGGCATTGCATGTGTTCTATATCAAGCTGTTTATCTTATCCAGCATTTCTATATCCTGCCTTGTATCATTTACCTACATCCTGCAGCAGTCCAAGGTGCATGCCTGGAATGATTAAGGTTTAAATGTTACGAATCAAAAAATGTTGTCTTACCGTCTTATCTGACCATGGAAGCAATTATGTAAATGTACAAAGTCTGTTAAATCTGTTTACTTTGTTAACTTTCCTCACTAGTTTGACCCTGGTCTGCTTTTTGTTCCCATGATTCAAATTTCAACTGACCGAGAGAAAATTGCTTTCACATTTTTCTAAATCGTAACAAACAAAAATAATATTCTTGTTGTTTTGTTCTTTTTCAATGTTGCGTGATTTCTGTTTATGACGTTTTTTTTACTCCTCTGCTAATAACAAAAGAGTGTCAGTCACTTGTTTACAGCTGACGTGATTCTGTATGTGTGATCACTTGAACTAACTTTCCCACTCCGCACCTTTCCCTCCCCACCTCTGGACACACAGGCAGTAACGACTCTTCCCTTCGCCGGAGTCGAATCACCTCCTCCATGGTCAATCTGGCAAGTCCTGCTGGGGGGAATCCGGGCTATTCAAACCCAGGCCTGGCTCGTAGCTCAGACGCTTTTGGTATGTGCTCCTCCTGTAGCCACTTGTATATGGTGTTGTTCACTCCTCCGTGTTCCGGGCTGGCTGCTCGCACGGACAGTATGCACGACAGTTTGTGCACAAAGAATGTTGTCTTGACTGCCCTGCCCATGAAAACCAGCGTGTGGAGAAGATAGTTGGGAAGGGATGAGGGGTCTGATATGGCTGGCCAGGTGCGATACGACTGGCCAGAATGCTTTATTGCACATAAAGGAGAATGGATGTTATAGAGGCACATGCTACGGACATAAAAGGAAAGCAAAAAGACGTATAGTAAAGGCATTAATTGTTGGAGGCCTCACATCTCTATTGTTGTTGGAGGGCTGTCATCTATATTGTTGATGGTGACATAGTGTCTGACTTATGAGGGGCAGATGGTAGGCAGCATTGTCATTCTTCTTGAATGGGGATACATGGACACATGGAGATTTTGAAATTTAATTGAATAATAAGAGTGCTTCTGCTTTGTTTGGGATATCAATATCCTATTATGTAAATCTTTTGTTAAGAGGGTAAATGGTTGCCTTTTTAGTCCTTACTTTAGAAACTGTTATTTTTACATCAAGAAGGTGGGGGAAGTTATGTGAGAGTCATGCATATAATGTACTGTCATTCTGTTTTGACTCTGTATGAGTACTGAGCCAGTTGAGGAAAGACTATTCACCAAGCTTTTCGTTACCAGTATTTTATTGCCATGGGAACAGTGTTCTCTTGAAAGGACTTAACGTCCCCAATATTGCAATTGTGCAAAGAGAAGTGTACCACTCACAGTCCTTAATAAAACCCCAGTTTTTAAGTTTTCTGCACTCCTACTCCTTAACAACACAATAAATAAAACGTATTGTTTAGAGACTGCCTTTCCAGTATTATTCTGTGCACTTTTTATCAAGTGTCTGTGGTTAGTTATCTCTTTAGATGATATACAAGTATACAGTTCAAGGTTTCAGATGGAAAGACAAAGATTGTGCTGATCAATAATAAAAAAGATTGGATGAAAATGAATGATCTTAGATTTAGTACTTATTTATTTCTTCTCTATTTGTCTTGGCATTTTAAAGCCATTAATTTTCACTTTGACTTTTTAAAGCCTTTAATTTTCACCTTTGAGAATTAATTTTACCAAAGATTGCAGCGTTTTTACTTTCTTTAACAAACAAACTTATCCAGTTCTGTGCTTCATTCATCTACTTTTGCTAATTCTTTTCTTTTAATTGATACAAATTTTATTCTTCATTGTTGAAACTTTTTGTTCTTTCTTAGTCTATTTTTTAAATATTGTATTTAGTAATTTTTTTTACTGAACAAATTCAAAATTTTGCTTTAAGTCTATTTCTTATTAAGATACCATTCTATCTCAGTCTTGAGGCGCTAATCTGCAAAATGATATAACCCATTTTTCAGTCCTTATTTTAGTGGTTTAAATTAAAGAAATTGTAGGACCTGCTTATTTTTGGAAGAACTTCCATCTTTCTTCTCCCAGTGAATAGTAATGATCTTGCTGTGTATTATATGAAGTATTACTATTTTGAGCTTAATCATATTCATGCTTTGTATTGCTAATATGAATGTTTGATTACTTTCGTTTACTTTTTAAAAAATAAAACAGAAAATTGTTGGTAATAATCAAGATATTAGAGCTGTACGATGCACAACTAGAGCACTAGTTATGGGTATACATTTTAAAATACCAAAATAATCTTTGAATTTTAAAATTTTGTCTTAGTAATTTGCATGATAATGTTAAAATAGAAATGGAATTGTGAGATTTGCTTTAATTTTTAGTCATCAAATGATATATTGACATGAGTTTGATGAATAGTATGCACAGAGAGGACACATGCCCAGGTAGGATTTGTGTTCTTCTCATTATGATTTCTACCTGTTTCCTGGGTGTACAGAAGAAGATTAGCATTCCGTCACAGAACGATGTAGACATTCATATATCTAGGTCTGAGGGCATGACTTGCCTGAAAAATGATGTGGCATAAAATAAGATAGATAAGATAAGATAGATGAGATAATACTTTATTGTCCCAGAGGAACATTTTTCTTGGCTGTAAACTGTAAAGGACTGTAAAACGCATGCAGGTAAACATAAAAGTTATATATCAGTGAAGTGCGACTTCAGAAATGTGTCTTGGCTTTCGGGGATAATATTGCTATTACTTGTTAGATGTGAATATATGACAGGTCAAAATAGATTGACATTACACCACTGAGATGACGTACTAAAGATGGTGTTGTATACCAAAACATAGTTCATTTACGAGTGGAAATTAAGCTTTTAGGTGCTCAAAATGTGGCCAACATTTGGTCTCATTGGGCGTAACAGGAACCACAAGTCATCTTAACCGTAGCCATTATTTCCTCAGCCTAACTAAAACAATATTCTCCCCTGCATTGATGCCTTGGTCATCGTCAGATATTGATGGATGGACTATTAGTGTGCAAGGCGTAGTAATTTAAAGAGACACTTCAGAAATACAATGTCACTCAGTAAATAAGATGTGACATACCAGAAAGAGGAAATACAGCACAGTGAGAATACATTTTTACCCCCTATAGTGCCTATAGTACAGATCCCATGAGTCAGTTGTGTCATTAATTGAAGAATTTGGATTGAGAGGCACCATAGCACCCAAGTCCCAAAAGTCGGATAGAGTGAAGACACAGCAAAAAAAAACTTTCATTAACCTTTCATTAATCTCATTTGGCTATTCAATTCAATTTTGAGTCTTGGGGGGAGGAGATCTACCTTTTGAAAATGAAAATGTGATGCCTTTTACTCCAAAGTGAATATCTGGTTATTTTGGATGCAAAGTCATGTAGGTTTCAAAGGTGTTTAGTCTGGTTAGTATTTGATCTGTACTGTGATGTATACATGTCTCTCATTATGTCAACTCAAGCCACTTTTTACTAATCCTCTTATTGTATCTCCCCTCGCCCACATCCAATGCCCTACAGGATCTACAGGGAACCTGAACCGCAGCAAACGCCTGAGCACATCTTCCTCCAACATCTCTGGCCGTAAGACGCCCACATCAAACTCATCGGCAGCCAACAGAAGATCACTGATATTCACCCCGCGGTCCACCACCCCGACTGTGGCGTTTGGCTCCTCGGTACGGTCGCGGCCCACTACGCCAACCTTCTCCCCGCACTCATCATCAACCCCTCAGAGGCCGGGCAGTGCCACCCCGACCAAAGGACTCGGTTCATCATCTGTAGGCCCCACCAGGCAACGACGCTTACCCAGCACCCCACGCACCCCCACCTCCTCATCTTCACAAGGCTTCAGATAGTGCTGAGTGCTAGTCTCTTTTTGTGATACCAAGTGTCTTATGCCTGAAACTAGCTAGGGAAAAAGTTCAGCTTAACAATCCAATTCTGCTCTTAAAGTGAAGTCTTCTTTTTTTAAAATTACCCTCTGATTTTTTAGGAGAAGTGTAGTAATAAAGTATTTGAACGAGGTATTTGCAGTGGAATTTTATAGACTAATTATTTCAATAAAGTAAAGCCATTTTCCTACTAAATTTTACCTGACGTCGGACGAGTTCATTGACGTAATGTGTACACCTTATGCTCTTGTCCTCATCTTCTTGACAATTTCAGAGTTTTAGCTGAAAATAACATAACTTTTGAAGTTGAATGATACGGACGAAATGTCTGCACCATATGCAAGGCTCCTATGAAGCCAGAGGAACCGATAACAGGTTGTGCTTGTTTTTACTGTTTACAAAAAGTTGTGACCGGTATACAGATGTTTGAAAAATTGACTATGCATTTAATTTTATGTCAACCATTCCTATGTTTGTTTTGTACCGTAAGCTTGATTCTTTTTTTCCAACCTTTGTTGTAATGTTGTGAGCTCATGCTCCCACCACTGTTGATGTGTTGACTGTGTCTAGAGACAGCCTCGGTGGTGTGTGCGTGCCTGAGACATTCCGCTAGAGCATTTTACCATATTTTGTTGTTTTGATGGATCAAAACTTTTATCGTGTACAGCTAAGATTCTTAACTTTGCTTTAGTGATGAAAAACTGCTTTTGAGATTGAATTGTGTCAAAAGCAAAGTTATGTCTCTTGAGTAATGCTATGCATTTCATAACTTCTTTTCTTGTGACTGGATCAGAGAATGAGAAAGTCATACTCACATCCTTGAAAGCTTATGCTCATGAATGGACAAAAAGAGCGGTTGAGGGAGGTTTTGATGACTTATATATCGGAGAAGGAAGATTTACTCATGCAGGGCATGTTCGTCTTTGAAAAATTATTTGCAGATATTCCTAGTTACTCCTGCTCTTGTAAAGAATATTATTAGTTTAACGAATTTATAGTTATCTGAAAGAAAATGGTTGTGAAAAAACTTGTTTAAACATTCCTGTTTGTGTCAACAGACAAAACCGCATATCAGCAGATGCAAATGTTAATCTTATAATGTCTGCCATGGTTTTTTAAGATGTATTTTATTTATCGTAAAACCAGGGGATGGGGGTGGGGGGGAATATGTAAGTTAATGTTCTTCTTATCAGATCTGAATTTTTAATTTACCGGAGTCATTGGTTTGGCCTGGTTAGGCTATAGGTTGTGAGATCATAAAATTTGTTTTGCCAGTTAAGCTGCTAAAGCTGATTCTTTGGGACACCTGTAAATTCAGATGGCCTGAGATAAACCAAGTCTCTACTGTTATCTTTGAGGTTTTAAGGTGCACTGGGCACAGCTTACTTCCTACATTTATAGCAGGGTAAAATGTGATCTGAATAGCAGTTGGAAAAATTGTAAGATACTTATTGTTACTAACATGTTGCCTTAGAATGGATATTTAAGGTCTTATGAAAGGCAAGGACTTTCATTATCTGAAAGCTGTCTTGCTGAAAATATGAAAGACAAGGACGTTATACAGTTTTCGCAAAAAGTGAACATTTTAACATTGTTCTCTGCATTGACTTCTACTGTTGTCTTATTGAGTGTATTTTAATACCTTCATGTTACCAATATTGTTTGGTGCAGATATTTTATGATGCTTCTCGTATTATATGGTTAACCTCACCAACCTAAAATGATTCTGAGGACAATTTTTACAGCATACTTTTATATAATATTTATTATGTCTTATCTGCTTTGGCTCATGAACTTTTCCAGCGATGTGTGAAAATAGTGGTTGATAAAAATCTTAGGTGGTCTATCTATCTGAACAAAGTGTTCTCTCTCCCTCTCCCCCACCCCACCCCCACACAGTATATTTAAAGCTAGAAAAAGAACTATGTATACCATGCATTATTCCGAGGTCCCTTTGTCCACCACATAATAATACTGCTTTGGTTCTATACTGTGTAGAGCAAAAGGGTAGCCAGGCTTGTGTATCGCCAGCTGTCTCAGATAGTCACTTCCATTCCATGTTTTTATACAGCGTTCCATGCGTACCTTGTGGACCGAACATTATCTGGGGGTAAGGTTGTCACCGCACCATGTACTGAACCTCATCAAACTCGGACATATTATTGCATTTTCATTGTAGCTGCTTGACTGAGCTGAGAGATTGTGTGCAAATATTTCTGTTTGTATCGACAGACGAAGGGGTCTGGACGAAACAGGGAGAATGTGAACGTCTTTGTTGTATTGTGTGTATCTGGAAGTGTGTATGTGTGAGATGGACAGACCTGTGACTATGAGGGTGGCTAGGTGCGTCATGACAAAGAAGTGTCTCAAACTAGAGAAAGGCATACATGGGGGAAATGGGGCTGGCTCTTACTTGTTGTATTTACAATACATTACAGAGAATATATGTAGAGCTTGTGCATGCCGCTGTTTTGTAGGTCTGTGTTAGTAGCGCTATGTGAGGACACCATTTCCATATTGTTTGTTTTTAGTGAGAGAGGTAACATATTATATGTACAAAGTCAAAGTTTCAGATCATGATAGTTTTGTCATTTGCAAGTGGTCCCAGTGTTTCCTTTCTTGTGCCTCTTCTGTCTGACGTTGACTTTGAATCAGTAGGAGGAGTAGATAGTGATTTGTAGCTTTGTGATTTGCACAGTGTTGGAAATGCAAGCAAGTCTAGTTGCTCAATAGCGTAAAAACTGAATCGACTTTTACCTTGGAAAATTGAAGTTGATGAATAAATTTTTTTACAAGTACCACATGATGTGCATTATTTTATGTTCTTGTAGCATCAGATGTAGCAGGCTGAGGTGCTCCAGTTAGATTAGCTATTGCCTTGATGAAACCATATTGAAAGTAAAAGTCACAGCAGATTTAAGAGTGGTGTGTACAGGCATTCTCTATCATTTTTCCCATACACCCATCATGCACAAAGGTGTTGCCATCCCTCATGACGGTGTAGCCTTGCGATGCTGGGACAGTGTGTGTCTTACTAGTTGCCTTTTGATCTCATGGTAATATATGATGTTGGAGTTGTTACATATGATCGTTGTCATGGTCAGACCTATGTCCATATCTTCACTTCTATTGCAGTAAAGGTAAGAAACTTCAAATATTGATGCTTCTGCGCAAGTGTAAATCAGGGTCAAAGGATTTTAAGCTCATCTTTTATTTGCAACAGTTACGAATGTTATGGCAATGGTAGCCTACTATATACGATACGTAGGACTTGTAAGTCTGGACGTGACAACTAAGATTATGCTGTTGTTTGAGTTGAGATGGTGTGTGATGGCATTATCTGCACAGCTATTGTGGCTGTTCTGGGAACTTGCTGATGATGGAGAGATGTGAGAAGTATTGTAATGTATAATAATTGTTGGAGGTTGCCCAGAGTTTTTTTGTGTGCCTCACTTTGCCTTCTATTCCAAATTCTGTCTCTGTGTTGAAGGACAAACATTCCAGACACTTGCAAAATGTGTCACTGAATTTCTTCATTACCATTCCAGATTTTGAAACTATATTTTTCGTTCATCTCTTCACTTTGTAAGTAATGTAAGTGATCCTATCTATAAGTAGACAATGTGGATATATCTTGCATCTGCCCATAACATTAAGCCAGTTGAATCTACCACTTTATTCGTAAAGTATTTATCTATTTGGTTCTTAACAAATAACAAAAGTAAGTTTTTCCCTTCTATAATTACTTTCAACTTTCAAATTGACTGAAAATTCGCTCTTAACCTGGTTTTCAAGAATATGAAGTTTTGAACCTTTGAAATTTAGTAATTTCTTCTCAAAAGTCTATTACTATTTTATCACTTACTTTTAACATGTAAGAGGCTGGCAAAAAAAAAATACAGTACTTATGAATGAGATGAAACATTACACTCTTACATTACTTACAAAGACGAGATATATCCCTTCAGAGTTGTGGTTCAAATATAACCATATTAATATTACCATGTCCAACCTCAGACTCGGAGGCAGTGCTCAGGAACAAATGTTTCAAAGCACAATTAGTATTAGTATTCCAAGTGTTCTGCTGTTACTATAACAACATCGACGAGAAGTAGTCTATGCTGTTGTCTGAGAACTGATTCTATGATAATATCATTATAGGTGGCATGGCTTTTTGTTGTTTCTTTTTTCTTTTTCTTATACTCAAGTGAATTAGCTGGGATGAGAATGATAGTGGAGCAGGGAATGGGTTCAGCTTGAGATGAGATTGTGTGACTGTTGTGATGAGTCCGATGTCATGAATGGAATGAGAGGAGAAAGGCTTATAAATGCCTGTAGCAAATTTGTAAAACACTATTAATTATACTATTGTACACTTATACCATCATGATATACCATGCCTTATGTAAAGACAAGACTTTATATCAGCCATTAAAAAATTCTTGAACAAATTCCCTTGAAGTTGAAGGGGTTTTTTTTTGGTGAGTTTTCACTTGCTCTCTCTCTCTCTCTTTCTTCTCGTTCTCTCTCTCTCTCTCCAATTGGTAGGCCAACTCACCCTCGCCACAGGATTGTCTCTTCACTGAAGGGACAGACCAATATCCTCAATGTTCTCTTTTGTCTGCAAGTACAACCCATGAGGTCCTCTTATGACTCTCAACAGGTAGCTGGTGCTTGTGGGTGGTTGGTGGGTGTTCTGATGTGGTTTGCTCCTTTTTTCCTAAGAAACATCTATGGTACATATATTTAGCTCTCTTCCTTCTTTTATTCCTCATCTTTACTATTGTCATTTTTCCTCTACTTCTTTTATATGGTTTGTCACCCTCTTGTGAACTGCTATTTCCCGGGTGCCTTGATAGTCGATGCAGACTCTCTACTGTTGAAGCTAGAGAGGTGAGCAGAATAAGCCTGATTCCCTGTTTGGACTTCTCTGTTGACATCCACTCCTTGGCGCTCGTATGACTTTATGCAGTTGCAAGCGCAGTAAAACCTTACTAAAACAAAAATTCTTTTATTGTAGGCCTATTTGTATATTTGAGACTGTCTAGCAACACGTCTAATCTTTGGCTCCTGACCTATAAAAGTTTCAAATGCCGTAAAACTCTTCCTGAAACTGAGCTGCTGCTTACTGTACATGCAACATGTGTTGATGAAGGTACAAGTAGTACTGGTAACTGGTATTAAATAAACATCATGGCTTTCTTATCTGTTTGTCGTACCAGCTATCAGGGATAAGCAAAGTTTCTTACACTACACCTCACACATGCTTGTTTTCCACTTCCTTCTTGTGTAAGAGTGAGAGCCCTTACTTTTTAGTGGAGACGAGCTTTATCATGCCATTTTTTTAAAGGTACTCTTTGCCTTTGCAAGATCGTTTCTGACTTGTATGGACACTGGTACCAAAGGGAATGCCAGCATGTTGACTTGTGCTATACATATAATATATATATATTATGTATATGTAGCCTACATATTTATACATAGGCGCCACCTACAGTACTGTACTGTAGTTTTAATAAGAGTTTTTTAAGGTACATGTACTGCAACACAGATCATTTAAGTGCCGAAGATTAAAGGTGTTACTAGAGAGTAACGTACAAAGAATAGGAGGAGAGATAAAGTACTAGGACGATTGATGCAGGATTGGAAAGAAAAGGCAAGCAACAACAGAGCACCAGCCAACCACCCATCAGTTTTACTTTTTAGTTTTTTAGTTAGTTTGAGTCCAGAGAAACTGACACAATACCAGTTATTTAGTGCATTGATTGGAAAAAACAACAGAAACAGTAGCGAATAGCAAAGACTGATACTGATCAAAACGAAAGAGGGAGAGAGGTAGTAGGACCTCCAAATACCTCAGTGTTCTATATGTGGTTTCTTCACCTTGCAGTAAAAGTAGCAGGTCATCATGATCATTACTAAACACCCCAAAAGTGGCTTTCATTTTTAGCAAAGAACAGTTTTCTCTCATGTGCCCAAAACTCATCAGATGCATTTCGTAAGTTGCCTTCGATGTGACTATAACTTATAACCATGAGTATAATGTTAGCTCAATTATACATGTACCCTGTTTGTTGAAATCAGAATTGAGGACACCGGTGTCTGTGATGTAGCGGTTAGGTGCTTCACTGTTGCACACACAAGACCTGATTTTGATTCCCAAGTTGGGAGAAAGTCAGTTATGAAGTATTATTATCTTGATCTTTCTGCTGGGATGTCCCTCTCAGCTCGGGTTGGTCCTGACATGGATGATCTAAATTGCATGAATGGGCTTTTGAATGCGGGTGTAAAAACTTTTTAAAAAGAAAAAAAATTAAGGATGCCAAGGACCAAAAATGAAGACAGCAGTAGTTTCAATATATGCCATTCATTCACATTGCTGAGCAAGTCAAAAACCCCAGTGGGTTGAAGGATTACTGCATTACCCAACCACACATGATCTGTAAATTGTACTAAAAGTTTTTAATCTTAAGCCTATGTCTATCACTACATTCACCAATACTTTAAAAAACTTTTGTTTCTATGCATTACTGCGGGAAAGCTCTTTAGAATTTAGAGCCATGTACTCAATCAATCCCTGGCAGTGTTAAAGACACTAGAACTTACAGTATGAAGAAAGTAATTTTGGTACTGTAACTCAGAGTGAGAAAGGCAATGATGATGAACTCCTCAACAGTTAAAGTAGCAGTAGACCCATGACCTACTGTACTGTAATGAATATTCGTCACATTTGACATTCCACTGTGAACAGGCAGAGGACATTATTAACATTGAGTATACATGTCATGTATAGATTCAGCTGTCAGTTTCTTTAGTCGACCAACGTATCACTTTTGTTTTAGTAGAGGTTTGGCGGCACTCGCAACTGCTTAAGGTCATATGAGCGCCAGAAGATTAGACGTGTTACAAGAGAGTAACAAACATAAAAAAGGAGGGGAGAGATAAGGACGACAGATGTTTGATAGGAAAGGAGCAAACCACACCAGAGCACCCGCCAACCACACACAACGTAACTACAGTAACAAACAGGTGTTTTGGAGGGACCAGAATCTCAACTTTTATCCACAGGAAATATTTGCCAGTCAAAATTTGAAAAAATATGTCACCACTACCATCTGGCAAAACTCAAAATCATGACCCCATCCTTCTTCTTCTTATCAGACCACGGCAAAAACTCAGGGTGTAACTCTGACCGAGATCTTCATCATCATCTCAGTCACAGCTGTTTTTTGCTTCGTAGAACGAAGAATTTGACATCCACAAGTTCTTTCCGAGAGTAGTCATTATTTAACTGACTAGAGTGGTTTCAGATTTAATTAGATAAAGGAATTTATTTAGAATTTTTACCGGATGGCAGCCCAAAAGGCCAATCGGTCTTTCAATTTTAAAAAATAGTTTTAGTAAGTGTTTTACGTTTTTCGGCACTTGCAACACAATAAGGTCATACAAGTGCAGAAGATTAGAGGTGCTACAAGAGCACCTGCCAACCACCCACTCTTTCAATTTTAAAAACCGCTGTGGGACTAACTTTCAAATGCGAAACTTCTACACTACATGGGACCTCTAAAATTGTTTGTCCTTCTCCGAGAAGACGGACCCCCAGGGCAGTGCCACTGACTGTAGTGTCTTTAGGTTAGGCCATTCCCAAAGGGGGGACATTTCTCGTTCAAGTGGCAGTAGAAAATGGGCTGATTCACGCTCATAACTGTGCCTGATCTACAAAAGGGAACAGCTGCTTTTTCTTTCCTAATCCTTACTATTGTCATTTTCCTCTACTTCTTTTGTCATGTTTGTCGTCTCTTGTTACCTGCTATTTCCGGGGTGCCTTGATAGTTGAAGCAGACCTTGAGTTGTTGAAGCTAGAGAGGTGGGCAGAGTGGGTCTGATTCCCTGTAAAGACTTCTCTGTTTACACCCACCCTTTGGCGCTCATATGACCGTATGCAGTTGCGAGTGCCGTAAAACCCTCTACTATTATAATAAAAAATAAACGAGAAGACAGAGCACTTGATCCTTCCACCCCTTGGATAAAGGGAGTGTTGAAAACAAGAAAATAACCCATGCTGGCATGGCCAGGATCAGACTTTGGACCACCGGGTTGACAGCTAGGCGAACAATTATTTATATCAGTTGAACTAGATCTTTAGCGCTCTGAGATCACGGGTTTGGGGTTCAAGCCTAGAGTTCCATTTGACATTGTTGTTGGGAAAGACACTACACAAATTTTCCCCATTTGGCTCGGCACTTTTGAAGATGAACGTTAAATTCGGAGGTCCCGCCTCTTAAAGTGTTGCAAGACAATTTTCAATTTTCAGATGGTAAATTCCTGAGGTGAAAATGCTTATCACTATCACATAGGTGGGGATAATCAACATACAGAACTTCACCGTACAAATGTATAATTCAGAAAGAAGTCTTAAGTTAAATGGAGTTGAAAGAGGTGCAAAAATATCAAATGCCAACATCCTCTCCCTGACGAATGTCTTGTGACATTTTGGATCTTTAGCTTTGGCACTTGCAACACAATACGATCATATAAGTGCCTAAGATTAGAGGTGTTACAAGAGAGTAACAAACATAAAAAAAGAAGGAGAGATAAGGATGATGAATGTTCTATAGCAAAGAAAGAGCAAACCACACCAGAGCATCCACCAACCACCCACATTTCGAGCCTGAAATAGTTTTCCAAAACAATTGCCTTGTTCCTGAAAAAAACTAGCGCTGAAAAAGCACAGTGGCAGCTACACACATACTCAAAATGAAAGCATTGTTATCACCCAGGTGATAGAGCAACACAATATTTCAACAACTCAGTTTCTGGAGATATCGCATGATATTCAAATTTCATGACAGCTGTCTGTATAAATCACATTAAAAAATGTTTTGCAAACAATCTAATAGGCCTACTGAATATTTTTGTAACTGTAAAGAAATCTCAAAATTCATCGAGAGCATAAATCCCTCTCCTCACTCTCCATGATTGACATGTAAAGAGCAGTGAGCAGTCGGGGACAGTAAATTATAAATATGTCAAGATTTTCTGACATGTAGCATTACAAAATGAACTTATTTTTGCAATAATAATGTACTTAGCCTTCTTTTATATTCACAGGCTTCGTGTTGTACAACTGTAGTGACAGTTAGCTGACAGGAAGAAGGCCTACTATCTAGACTGCCATCATACTTAGAAAAATATAATATGAAAAAAACAGACCACACCAGACACCAGAGGACTTAGTCTCAAAACTCAAAACAAACAACAAAAGAAAGTACAAACTGAGTCAGCATTTTATTTTTTATTCATTATACCCTTAACTGTACAAGGCAGGCAATGTGACGTAACGCCTAACCGTTTTCAGTCAAATGGACAACATTTTGCAAAATTCCTGAGAGCCTTTCCTAGTTGAATTAGCCTACTCTATGTCCATCCCAAAATGGTAAACTAGACCGAAAGGAAACCATGATCTTAATTAACAGAAAAACTTAGGATCCAACTTGGATCTTGCACTGTACATAGTGAGTTGAAAGTGATAGGAAGCCAATCATCGTTAACACTGGCAATTAAGCCTAGATGCATGAAATGAATATCAAGAGGTTTTAAACATATATGAGATTCTAAAAAATGATGGACTATTCCTTTAAAATAAAAGATGAAGCAGAAACCACATACACCTCTATTTAACAAAACCAAAAGTGAAGATACTGAGTGCTGGCATTTCTTATGTTAGTGTCCTTATAATGAGAAATACTTATGCCCCCCTCCCCCCCTGGAAAATAATTCAAAAGAAAAAACATCATTCTGTACAGTGGGAATTCAAAATTTTCAAAACACAACACGCAACAGACTCACATCAGATTTCAGATTTAGTCAAAATGAACATTTCCAACAGACGCAAGCACTCTCTATCATAACACCTATCACACCAAAACAAGAAAAAAAAACAATACACGACAGTTCACTGTCTGTTAGTTCAGTTTTTGCCAGTCGAGCCATAGCCGCCACTGCCCCTCTCCGTAGAATCAAGAGAAGGCAACTCCTCCAGCTGGGGAAGATAAATCCTCTCACAAATAAGCTGAGCGATGCGGTCCCCTTTGTTGACCACAAACTCTTCCTCGGAGAAGTTGAACATGACGACCCCGACATTCCCCCGGTAGTCCTGGTCAATAACCCCGGCACCGACGTCGATGAAGTGTTTGGCAGCCAGTCCCGAGCGAGGCGCCACCCGGCCGTAGCAGCCATCGGGTAAAGCAATCTGTATGTCTGTCTTCACAATCTGTTTACCTCTGGCTGGGATCTTGTACTCGTACGCACTGAGGAAACAGGAAAATAGGATTGTAATAAAGGAAATTATCTTCACTCCGGACTTCCTTAGGCTATTTACAGACTTAAAAATAAAGTAGTGAAAATTGTCCAAGAGCCGACAAAGTAACAACCTTCAGACTCAGAACAGGACACAACAGTCTGAAGCATCACACATTCTCCAGATTCAAGATTGGTGAAGAATCCAAAAACTCTCCTACTGGATTAGGCAACACAAAAATACAAGCCTCAACCCAGGGACACGCATCAAAAGCTGTAGAATCTATGGCCCCCCTCTCGACCTGGGAATCACTGCGGGGTTCATCAACACTTCAGCCCTCACCATCTAATCTACCATGAACAACGAAGAAGAAGTCCAAGACATCCACCCATTGTCAAGGAGCAAAGCTGTTGTCTTATAAGGGTGGACATCTTGGATAGTGTCATTTTTTTTTTAAC